GAAGAGGGGCTGGCTCGCTGGAAGGTTAACATCACCCTACTCTGTCTACACGTGGCTTGTTTTTTCCCAGAATTCCTGCCACAATAGCAGCATCCTTGCCATTCACTTTCTCCAAAGTGAGTAAACCATCTCTGCCCCTCTGATTCCTCAGCATGAGTCAAGACACTGAAGTTAGAAGTCGGGTCGTGGGGGGAAGTCTTCGAGGTGCCCAGGCTGCCTCCCTAGCCAAAGGGGAGCCGTCACCGCCTAAGAAGGAGGAGGACCATGCACTGAGTCACTGGAAGCCCTTCCTGGTCAACATGTGTGTGGCTACGGTCCTCACGGCCGGCGCGTACCTCTGCTACAGGGTATGTTTCCACTGACAGACGCGCTGGCGAGATGCTCGTGTGCAGAGAGCACTGGCCGCTAGCCCGATGGTAGGATTCAGTTCTGTGGCGCATCTGAGCCAGTCTCAGAAGAAACAGATCAAAGGTTTTTAAAGTCTGGAACTGTGGAAGGGCTAACGAGAATTAAGGATCGATGCACTGGGGTTTTAAGGAGCCCTCTGGTCCCAAGAATATAAGAGTCTAATCTCAGGGCCTTAACCTATTCAGGAGTAAGTAGAGAAAATGCCAAATACGTCTGTCTCTCTCTCTCTCTCTTTTTTTTATTCCTTTGTTTTTGGAAAAAAATAGAATTACAACACATTGTTGTTTTTAACCTTTATAAAAAGCAGCTTTTTGTTATTTCTGGAAAAAAAACAAACTAGGCACTTAATGAAACTTTCTCGTACCCTTAGGTGATGTAATTAGCTATATAATTTATATTTGATTTCCCAGGGAAGGAATCCCAAACTTTTACGAATGTAAACTCCCTTGGAGAAGAGGGTTAGGACGCTCTTGCGCTCAAGCCCCCCTCAGCTGTGTGCACACTGAGCCAGGACAGGGTCTTTGAGCTTTCCCACTGTAAGAACAGCAACACAAGGCCGTCTAGAGAAACAGAACCTGCCTCTGCTTCTGCTCAGGGTGTCCGTTGTCCTTTCTCCATTGCTCCCTCCTGTGACAGCCATCTTGCTCATGTACCAGCCCTCATCACCCCATTCCCATAAAAGAGTGTCCTCGAGGCCTCTCCCTGGGGGTCAGAGGTCACCACAGGGTGGCCCTCAGCATGTCAGCCCTCTGTTAATTCAGAGGAGTGGGCTCCACCTCATTGGGAGAAGTGCCATTTCAGCAGAAATCCACACGTTAGACGTGTGTTGCTGTTAAGTAAGGGGAAGAGAGGACTAGCCTCAGAGCTCTGGCCATGGAAATGACCTCCTGAGACTTTTTCATCGTTTTAAATATTTTACCTCTTTTCAGGTGGCCATCTGAGTACATCAGATGGTTTTGCAAAATGCAAACAATTTTTTCCTTGGGGGTGATTTTTGGGGAGAAGGGGCTACTGTAAAAAATAAAACCAAAACCCCCTTTGCTCCCTCGGAGGTTGAAGTTGCCGGGGGGTGTGGCCGGGGTCGTGCATGAGGCGACAGCTCTGCGGGTGCGGGTCTGGGCTCATCTGAACTGTTTGGTTTCATTCCAGTTCCTGTTCAACAGCAACACATAGCCTGACCCTCCTCCACTCCACCTCCACCCACTGTCCGCCTCTGCCCGCAGAGCCCACGCCCGACTAGCAGGCATGCCGCGGTAGGTAAGGGCCGCCGGACCGCGTAGAGAGCCGGGCCCCGGACGGACGTTGGTTCTGCACTAAAACCCATCTTCCCCGGATGTGTGTCTCACCCCTCATCCTTTTACTTTTTGCCCCTTCCACTTTGAGTACCAAATCCACAAGCCATTTTTTGAGGAGAGTGAAAGAGTACCATGCTGGCGGCGCAGAGGGAGGGGGCCTGCACCTGTCTGGAGGCTCGCCCCACCCAGGGCTCCCTCCTGGAGCATCCCAGGCAGGTGGTACACCAACAGCCCCCTTGACTCGCAGGGAGCAACTCTCCACTCCATATTTATTTAAACAATTTTTCCCCAAAGGTGTCCATAGTGCACTAGCATTTTCTTGAACCAATAATGTATTAAAAATTTTTGATGTCAGCCTTGCATCAAGGGCTTTATCAAAAAGTACAATAATAAATCCTCAGGTAGTACTGGGAATGGAAGACTTTGCCATGGGCCTGCTGCGTCAGACCAGTACTGGGAAGGAGGACGGTTGTAAGGCAGTCGTTATTTAGTGATATTGTGGGTAACGTGAGAAGATAGAACAATGCTATAATATATAATGAACACGTGGGTATTTAATAAGAAACATGATGTGAGATTACTTTGTCCCGCTTATTCTCCTCCCTGTTATCTGCTAGATCTAGTTCTCAATCACTGCTCCCCCGTGTGTACTAGAATGCATGTAAGGTCTTCTTGTGTCCTGATGAAAAATATGTGCTTGAAATGAGAAACTTTGATCTCTGCTTACTAATGTGCCCCATGTCCAAGTCCAACCTGCCTGTGCATGACCTGATCATTACATGGCTGTGGTTCCTAAGCCTGTTGCTGAAGTCGTTGTCACTCAGCAATAGGGTGCAGTTTTCCAGGAATAGGCATTTGCCTCATTCCTGGCCTGACACTCTAGTGACTTCCTGGTGAGACCCGGCCTGTCCTGGTGCAGCAGGGTCTCGCTGTAACTCAGACATTCCAAGGGTATGGGAAGCCATATTCACACCTCACGCTCTGGACATTATTTAGGCAAGCAGGGACACCCCCCGCCCCCCACCTTTGGGATCAGCCTCCGCCATTCCAAGTCAGCACTCTTCTTGAGCAGACTGTGATTTGGAAGAGAGGCAACTGCTGGAAACCACACTTCTTGAAACAGCCTGGGTGACGGTCCTTTAGGCAGCCTGCCGCCGTCTCCGTCTGGGTTCACCTTGCCGAGAGAGGCGCGTCTGCCCCACCCTCGAACCCTGTGGGGCCTGATGGTGCTCACGACTCTTCCTGCAAAGGGAACTGAAGACCTCCACATTAAGTGGCTTTTTAACAAGAAAAACACGGCAGCTGTAGCTCCCGAGCTACTCTCTTGCCAGCATTTTCACATTTTGCCTTTCTCGTGGTAGAAGCCAGTACAGAGAAATTCTGTCGTGGGAACATTCGAGGCATCACCCCATAGAGCTGTGGTGAGGTGTGGATAAGGCTTAGGTGCCAGGCTGTAAGCATTCTGAGCTGGGCTTGTTGTTTTTAAGTCCTGTATGTGTATGTAGTAGTTTGGGTGTGTATATATAGTAGCATTTCAAAATGGACGTACTGGTTTAACCTCCTATCCTCGGAGAGCAGCTGGCTCTCCACCTTGTTACACGTATGTTAGAGAGGTAGCGAGCTGCTCTGCTATATGCCTTAAGCCAATATTTACTCATCAGGTCATTATTTTTTACAATGGCCATGGAATAAACCATTTTTACAAAAATAAAAACAAAAAAAGCAAGGTGTTTTGGTATAATACCTTTTCAGGTGTGTGTGGATACGTGGCTGCATGACCGGGTGGGTGGGGGGGCGTGTCTCAGGGTCTTCTGTGACCTCACAGAACTGTCAGACTGTACAGTTTTCCAACTTGCCATATTCATGATGGGTTTGCGTTTTAGCTGCAACAATAAAGTTTTTTTTCTAAAGAACGTGAATTTGGGGTGCTTCCCATTTTTTTTTTCTTTGCTTAATTGAGCTAAACCAGGATGAGCAACTCCTGTTTCTTTCCATCCCTGCTGATGTGAAACAGATGTTGTCAATCAGCTGGGGTTAGAGTTTTCCACTTCTAAGAATTAACCTCAGCATCCCCGCGTTGCCAGCGCCCTCAGGCTGGAGCGCTTTCCTTGAGGGTGAGCTTACTGAACACCTTAGGCCTCAGCCCACTTCCTTCCCAAACCCACGCTTTCCATGTAGAGGGCCCTTGGATAACTTAACAAACTTATCAGTGTTGTTTGAAGAACAGTGTTTTGAGTTGTAATCTCAAAACCATGTCCCTTACCCAATTACCTGTAAGACACAATGGTTACCGCATCTCAGTACGTAAAGTCCATTTGATATAGAGTTGACTTAAAAATAAGATAAAAAATTAGTACAGTTTTTCATTTGTGTACAAAATTAAACAATGTAAAAATTCCCCCCAAAGTGATTTTTTTGACTTTTCGTTTTGAAGTAACTTTGGACTTGCAGAATGTTGCCAAAATAGTACAAAGAGTTCCCCGGTACCCTCCAAGGTTCTTCGACTGTTTCAAAGCTGGCTGCAGGCCCAGGCTCATGAGACTGGGAAAAGGACAGGCTGTGGTCATGTGGACCCGCAGGGGCCTAGGGCTGCAGATGTCAGTGTTGCTCCCACTGTTTCAGGTATAAAAAAGGGCCTCTAAGCTTTCAAGAAGAGAACGCTCTAGGGCAATGGTCCCCAACCTTTTGGGCACCAGGGACCGGTTCCATGGAAGACAATTTTTCCACAGGCCTGGGGGTGGTGAGGCATGGTTTTGGGATAGAAACTTCCACCTCAGATCATCAGGCATCAGATTATCATAAGGAGCTTGCAAGCTGATCTCTCGCACAGGCAGTTCACAATAACACATGCAGTTCACGATAGGGTTCGCGCTCCTATGAGAACCTGATGCTGCAGCTGATCTAACAGGAGGTGGAGCTCAGGCAGTAATGCTTGCTCGCCGGCCACTCACCTCCTGCCATGCAGCCCAGTTCCTAACAGGCCTCAGACCGGTACCGGTCCGTGGCCTGGGGGTTGAGGACCCCTGCTCTAAGTGGGTACTGCTGATGCTTAAAAAAAGAGGAGGGGGTTTGCCAGAAATCAGATGGGGCAAAAGGGCAAAGGCTGTGCCACAGAGTGCCCATATAGGGGAGAGCACGCCTGGAGCCTTCGAGAGCATGCAGAGAAGCCTGGAGACAGCGTTTACCAGAGTCGCTGCCTGAGGCCGCCCTCCTTTAAGTGTCCCCACAGCGCACCACAAGACCACAGGGGTGACCTCCCCACTGGCAGGTGTTTGGGGAAACAACCGCTGTCTACTCTTTTGGGTAAAAAGTGAAACACCAATTAAAATAGTTTAATTGAAATTTCAGAAAATGGAACATATGAACAAGGCAAATAAATACTAAGTTAAACCAAAAAGCACAAAATATGTACAGGAAGTATCGATGAGAATGTTCAAGTTAAAGTTCTCCAATGCCATTGCTACAGCAACCTCAAACCCTAGGTTCTGTCTGCACTATTAACACAGACATCTCAGGACATGGTTTGCTTTTTTTAAGACTTAAATAGGAAACTAATTTTCTTTCTTTAAAACAGTGTGTTCTTCAGTGAACTCTTTCTTCAGGCCAGTTGATGGCTTCTGTAACGGTTTATTGACGAGACCCTAGGGTAGCTTCCGAAGCTGGCTTGATTGCATTTGGGTGCGGATGGCCAAAGTGAGTGGCCCTGCTGCCCGTGCTACTCAGGGCTCCTGGGCTGATGTGGTGGCTTCTTCCGTTTGTGCTGCTGAACAGGGGGAAAATGAGGTTCTCAGTCTACCAGCCGCTGTCTGGGAGTTCCACCGGCACTCTGGCTGCAGGTCAGGCTGAGAGTGTGCATGTAGAAACCCTGGCTTTGTGCCTTCCCGCCTTCCCCAGCTCACCAAGGTGACACCTGGCTGCTGCTGAAATGACCTGAGCAGTCTTGCATTAACAGGGCCAGCCACCTGCCAGCCTGCTGCATCCCAGCGCCTGTTGACCCAGAAGTGCCAAGCAGCTGACCTGCAGGGAGGCCTGGAGTTCTACACGCTTGTCTTGGAGCCTTTTATTTAGGGCCTCGACTTGCCTGGCCTTGGCCCTTTTGTAGGTGGCCACCTAGTGCAGCTCAGCTCTGCATCTCTGGGAAGGTCACACAGACCCGCAGCCAGAAGTCGAGCGCTCCACTGAGGCCTGGCAGCCCCTGCCTTGCTTTTTTCTGCTTCTGTACAAAAGACCAGCCCATGCCCTGGGGCTGGGTCAGTGGCCGGAGCCTCAGGCAGCGCTCTGGACAGCTCACACTCCTGGAGGAGTGCACAGCACCATTACCCAGCGCGCAGGCTACGTCCAAGCCGGGCAGCGGCAAAAAACCGATGTGAGATTTGTGCTCAACGACCAGGATTTTTTAAAATATTGTGATTTCAACATCTGCCTCCTGGCAAAAGACTTCTCTTTGTTCTGAGCAGAGCTTGTCCATCTTCTCAAAAGCTAACCGTCCGTTTTCACCTGAAATAGCAAAGGGACCTGTCACCAGATTGGATCCTGCCTTGGCACTTCCGACTCTCATGGGCCAAGGTGGCCCTAGTGCTTAGTGACTGTGGGTCCCGGTGGTCTCTGCAAAGCGGCAGGGGAGGGAGTATGTGCGGGAGCCCCCACCTGGTGACTCACATGGCCTGGGGGGCCTTGCCTTTAACTCTAGGATGTCCTGCTGAATCGGAACCCTGCCTTGCCTCTGGCTTCTATCCCAAAGGTCATAAAGTCTAAGAAGATAGCGAACACTCCCTGCCACCCAGCCCTGGCAGGATGCTACAAAGGGTGAAGGTTGGCTCTGTGCCAGGGCTGCTAACGGTGCCCATCCCGGGTACCCCAGAGCTGTTCTGCCTGCTGGGAGAGCTGGGTGTGGCTGTGGCCTCTCGCAGGTTCTGAGGGCCCCAGGAACTCCGCTGCGCTGCACAGATTGTGCCACTTTACCGAACGAGAGTGTGGTTTCCCGGGCTGCCGCCCGCACGGCCTCCAGGTCAGACTGGCACAGGCTGGCAATCTGGTCGATGCTTTCAATGCCCTATTCGAGATTAGGAGAAAGAATCCTTTGGGGGCCTTCTCAACAGCAGGTAGAGTCCACTTAGCGGCCCTGCAGGGCCAGCCCTAGCGTGGTCTCTGGGGCCTCAGCCCCTTCTTTTTCTCCAGGCTTCCAGGTTTTTTAGGTGGCCTCAGGTGCATGAGAGGCACCTCTGGACTGTGGAAGTGTCTCGCCTCTTCAGCTCTGACACCTGCTAGGGAGTCAGGCTGTTGGCAGAACTCGTCTTCCTGGATGCCTGCTGAAAGGCTAGAATTGAAAAGGAGGAGACCTGCTGCTTTCTGGACCTTCCTGCCTCCCCCATGCTCTCTTTACCCTACTCTCCAGGGCAGCCTGTGCCAGTATGCCCGACTCTGGCACATGCCCCCGGCGCGGGTTGCTCCTGCGGGCCAAGGACCAGCATGCGCTGCAGCGCCCTCTACTGGACACCCGGCCCTTGCTGGTTTTCTGATCCTAACCAGCTTCTCCTCTTAGAATTTCCTGTTGATTCATCCCAGAAAGAATGGGATGAGCGAGTTCAATCTGTATTGAACTATCTTTCATCTAGCAGCTGTGCAATTCCAAATGCAGGTGAGGCTGAGGGAAAGCGGGCATCCCCTCACATCCATGGGATCTATGTGTGGGTTGTATCAAGTCTCAAAAATGCTCATATTCTCTGGCCCTAGAATTGGGTCTAGCCTAAGGAAATAATTCAGAACTCTGTTTTTAAAGCTTTATGCACAAACATGATCACAATGACATGCTTTATGATAAAAATTGGATAAAGAAAACTATTTCCTATGACAGCGGGTGAGTAGGTTAAATTAAGGTGTATACTTGATAGCCCCTTCATACAGAATTCTAAAGTGAAAAAAAAAAGACCCCCCCAAAAAAAACCACAAATAAAGAATTCTAAAGTGCTGCCAGTCTAACACAAAATGTTCTTGTTTTGTTGACTGTTTTTAAACTATGTTTGGATCAACAATTTTAAATGCTCACGCATACCCACAAACTTTTAAAAGAAGCATACCAAAATGTCAGCCGTTGCTTCTGCTACATTCTAGGATGATGGATAACTTTCTTTTCTATCTCTGTATTTTATACTTTTTTTTTTTTTTGAGATGGGGTCTTGCTTTGTCGCCCAGGCTGGAGCGCAGTGGCACGATCTCAGCTCACTGCAACCTCCGCCTCCCGGGTTCAAGTCCCGAGTAGCTGGGACTACAGGCATGTGCCACCACACCTAGCTAATTTTGTGTGTATGGGTTTTGCCATGTTGGCCAGGCTGGTCTCGAACTCCTGACCTCAGGTGATCTGCCCACCTCGGCCTCCCAAAGTGCTGGGATTGTAGGCGTGAGCCACCATGGCCCGGCCCCAGTGAAATCATTTTAAAGTTAACTAACCTTAACCCTAACCACAAGCAGGCTTCTCTGTCAGCCACTAATGGAGAAACATCAGGCTCACCTTGAGCTGTTTGAGCGCCAGGCACGCGGCCTGCTGGAGCCTTGCATCGTTCTCTGCCAGGGCGTTGGTGTAGAAGAGCACAGCCTGGGGAGAGTAAGGAGGCTGTGAATGGAGGGGTGAGCAGGAGTGGAGTCCATGGTTCCGGGTCCATCAACCGCCAGGTGCCGACAGTAAGGCACGCTGTGCCCATCTTTCTCTAAACAACGTTCAGGACAGGATCAGTCCATCTTTGGGCCAGGTGTACACAGTCACAAGAGCTATACTGTGGTGTTTAATTTATCCCTAAAAACTGGTCCCAGGGCTAATACAATGAGGAAAACTCCTTTTGTCTAGTAATATTCCAGAAGTGCGTTCTGAAACTGCTGTCTATAAAATGCTGACTGAGAGACATCAGATGCCCAGCTCAGAGCAACAGAAGAACTGATCATACCATGTGCATCGCCCTCTGCAGCTGAAAACGGGCAGCGCTGCTGCCTCAGGCCAGAGGGAAACCTGCCTATTCCCCTCAGCCCCCCTGTCCAATCTCAGCGGTGACCGTGCCCTCTTCAGTCTCACGCCCATGGCCACATCAGTTCATGTCTTTGGGCCTAACTTGACTCAGCTGAAAACAAAGCTGGCACTTGTTTCATGCGTTGCTGTAGGGTTTGTTAGAAAGCACACGGGGTTGTGCCCGGCCCGCAGGGGAGTCCAGCATCTGCGGCTGCAAAGGGAAACCCAGGAGTGGGTTTGTGCTCACTCAGTCGAGTGGCTGCACCTTCAACTGCACGGGTGGGGCGGTGGGGGGGCCCATCTGCAGGTGGCTCTCCGAAGTGTCTGCTGCTTTGGGAAGACAGGGAGACTGGGAGTAGGATCGGGTTCTCCCGCTCCTCCTACACAGGGCACTGGTGAAGGCTGTCAGGCCATATCAGTATGGAAATGTCACACTACCCACTGCCTCTAATCCCGGGGTGCCAGGTCATGGCAGCCCACTCCCTCCTCAGCACCCTCACCTGAGGGCAAGTGATCTGTCACTGGGTTGGCCCCCACCTCAGTGTTTCCTACTCTCTCAAGTCTGTCACATGAAGACGAAGGGCTTTTTTTTTTTTGGAAACAGAGTCTCACTTCATTGTCCAAGCTGGGGTACAGTAGCACAATCTCGGCTCACTGCAGCCTCTGCTTCCCAGGTTCAGACAATTCTCATGCCTCAGCCTCCCAAGTAGCTGAGACTACAGGCATGCACTGCCACTCTTGGCTAATTGTTTTATGTTTTTAGTAGAGATGGGGTTTCACTATGTTGGCCAGGCTGGTGTCGAACTCCTGAACTCAAGTGATCCACCTGCCTCGGCCTCCCAAAGTTCTGGGATTACAGGCGTGAGCCACCACATCTGGCCATGGAGGCCTTGTTTACAGTATGAAAAGATACCCCCATACCCCTAAACCCAAAAAAACAAAATACACCTGACTTCAATGGATCCTGGAAGCCAACCAACTACTAGTTTTCAGGAACTACAGAAAACAAATATATTAAACTACCATTAAACTTCCTGCAAGCAGCAAAGTCTAGATAGTCTAGAACAACCTGGGACTGTCAAGTTAATTGCAAGCAGAAAAAGAAATGGAGAAAAAGCCTTTAGATTAAGTGGAAATTGAAAACCATCAGCCAATCACAATATGTGTCCTTATGTAGATCCTAGTTTAGCAAAAAACAGGATGTTTGAGGCTTGGAAATTTGAACATAAGATGTATGATACAAAGAAATTCATGGTTAATTTTTTAGATAAGGTAATGGTATTAGAGTTGTGATTTTTGAAAGAATTCTTAACCTTTTGACACATATAGTTAACTATTTAAGGTCAAATAGGATGCCTCAGGTTGCTTCAAAGTGATACAGGGAAGTGGAGGGAGAAGGGGCAGGATTGGCCATGAGTTGATGGTGGTTGGGCTTGGGTTATGGGTGCAGGTGGATTCATTATATTGCTCTGCCTACTTTTGCAAGTTCAAAAGTCTCCAAATAAAGAGTTTAAAACAACCACAAAGTAGGCGGATGGGCTCCAAGAAGGGCTATTGGCAACGTAACTGGAGATTTCCTCTCCAGTCTGGAGCTGAGACCAGCAGTGTAGACTATGCCCTTGATGTCACCCTTCCTGAACCCCTCAGAGTGTCGCGGCTTAAACATACAGTAGTCACAGGCCAAGAGTGAAAAGGCAGAGAGGTCCATTCTCTTGGTTTTCAAATGGACTGAACACAATGACCCATTACCAGGTAGCCACGAATATTAATTGAAAGTAAATAAGGATGACTATCAAAACACTAAGAAAGGCTGGGCGCAGTGGCTCACGCCTGTAATCCCAGCACTTTGGGAGACCGAGGCGGGCAGATCACAGGATCAGGAGTTTGAGACCAGCCTGGCCAACATGGTGAAACCCCATCTCTACCAAAAATACAAAAATTAGCCTGGCATGGTAATGGGCACCTGTAATCTCAGCTACTCGGGAGGCTGAGGCAGGAGAATTGCTTGAATCCAGGAGGCGGAGGTTGCAAGATCATGCCACTATACTCCAGCCTGGGCAACAGAGCAGAACTCTGTCTCAAAAAAATAAATAAACCACTGAGAAAAACATTCAGCGTGCAAAGTGACATCTCAGATGTTTGGCTTTGGCAGCAGCAAGGTGCATTCATGTGTGTTAGGTGGCAGCCCAGGTCCCTCCATCAAAATAGCTCACAGCCACTGCAGCCCCTGGCACTCACTCCTTTGTACTTTTCCATGAGAACACCTGCTTAACCTGTGCCCACACATCTGTGGCCAGGGGCTGCCACCTGCCCTGGACAACGTACCTTTTCCCGGAAGCTTCTGTTCCTGACTGCACCCGCCAGGCGAGCGCTGGCCACCCTGGACACCCTCGGAGTGCCGTCCAGCTGGAGCAGCGCCCAGGCTCTTAAAGTCTGGGGCAGGGGCTGGAGCTGGGCCAGCCGCTTCCCCTGCAGCTTCCGGACCGCCTTGGCCTGCCCTGCGCAGTGAAGCTCCTCGATGAGTGTCACTAGAAGACAGAAAAGAGGTGGGCCCGGGCCCCCTGAGTGGGAGTTTGGCAGGACAGCTGCAAGTTTGCTTGGCTGCTGCCAGTAGCCACAGAGGAACAAATCCCAGACCCACCGGGATGATCACCAAGGCCCAGTCTGGACTAGTTTCCCAGGGAGCTCCTGGAATCTTCAGGAAGGCCTTTTAACACAGAATCAAATATGCTCCAAAAATTAATAAAACCACAGCCCACACTCCAGGGACTCTGGCCAGCCAAGATCACCCTCCTACCCAGCTCTGAACTCTCTTCCGTGCTTTTTAAAGCTGACTTCCCTGGGAGCTGATATCAGCCCCCATTGGCTGAATGCGGAATCTCATTAAATCGGGGTTCCCAAAAGAACAGTTGGCGGGGATAGATGTAGTGGCTCTGAATTATAACCTGAGAAACTGCATGTGACAGGGCCCCGTGGATATTCCTCTGCTATGACAGCCACCCACCCCAGCCTTACCTTCCTTGGTGAGCTGGGTGAAGTGCTTCTCCAGGTCGGAGACGCTCTGCTTCTGCAGGTAGCCGTGAAACTGGAACCAGGTGATGGTCTGTTCTTCGGGGAGCCCAGCTCCGGGGAGCAGCCCACTACAGCTGACCACCTGCTCCAGGAGCCTGCGGCACACTGGCCAAAGGGGAGAGCACATCAGGAGAAACTGAGACCTCGACCCTCCACACTTCTCAGCTGGGAGTAGCCTGGTCAGCTAAAAGGCTTTCTGGGCTGGGCACAGTGGCTCACGCCTGTAACTCCAGCACTTTGGGAGGCCGAGGTGGGCGGATCATCTGAGGTCAGGAGTTCGAGACCAGCCTGACCAACATGGTGAAACCCCGTCTCTACTGAAAATACAAAATTAGCTGGGTGTGGTGGCACATGCCTGTAATCGCAGCTACTCTGGAGGCTGAGGCAGGAGAATCGCTTGAACCCGGGAGGTGGAGGTTGTAGTGAGCCAAGATTGCACCACTGCACTCCAGCCTGGGCAACATGAGTGAAACTCCATATTCCATATCAAAAAAATAAAAGGGTTTCTGATGGCACAAGGGCAGGTGTCCTTCACTGCACTTCCTGTGCCATGGGGGAGGAGTGTGCCCAGCTGGAGTCAGGACTGTGACTCTGACTCACCCTGAGTCAGACCGTGTTGGGTTCATCCCCATGCCCAGGGCCCCACACCACACCTGGATCTAAATCCCGAGGCAGGGCCTAGGAATATGCGTCAACCAGCAGCCCAGGTGGTGCTTGGAACATGACTATCACCTTTCACTTGCTCCAGAGAAGGCCCTACGGCTCTGCATTCTGGGAAGAATACAGTCCAGCCCACATTTCTAGAGGCCTCCCTTCCCGTAAGGTTCATTCTTTACCCCGTCAGGCTCTGGTGGGAGGCATGGAATCTGTCCCCAGAAAAATGCACCAGCGGCCGGGCGCAGTGGCTCATGCCTGTAATCCCAGCACTTTGGGAGGCTGAGGCGGGCGGATCACAAAGTCAGGAGTTCGAGACCAGCCTGGCCAATATGGTGAAACCCCGTCTCTATTAAAAATACAAAAAAAGACAATTAGCCAAGCGTGGTGGTGCGCACCTGTAATCCCAGCTACTCAGGAGGCTGAGGCAGAAGAATCACTTGAACCCTGGAGGTGAGGTTGCAGTGAGCCGTGATTGTGCCACTGCACTCCAGCCTGGGCCACAGAGTGAGACATCATCTCAAAAAAAAAAAGAAAAAGAAAATAAAAATACACTGGCCCATCAGGGTTTGCACGCAGCTTCAGGGCTCCACAGACTGCTCAGAAGGCCCCAGGTGGAGGCCCCTTCTCGCCCAGTGAAAGGGCGGCGACTTGCACTGAAGCTGAGAAACCACCTCCGTCTGATGGCATGAAGACACTCAGAGGCGAAGACAGGGCTGAAATGAGGCCAGCTGTGGCCACCCTGCAGGCCCTGGAGACTCAATACAGCCTTTCTGTGGGAGGGGACGGCAGGACAGGAAGGAACCCACCTGTTTCCAGCTGTCCCGGGTATTTCCCTCTGACTCTGTGCAGCAAGGTTTTCTTGAGCTGGTTCAGCAGCTTCGTGGCAGGGCAGGACAGGACTCTGCCAGGCCCTGTGCACCCTCTCCACAGCTTCAGGCACCCCTTCCTCCGCGAGGCCTGTGGGATGACTGAAAGCCCCAGTTCAGAAACTGAATGGTGGCTCGGGGAGAGCACGTCACAAGGACCCCAAAGGTTTCCCTCCACTGGGACCTGAGGGGGTGGGGAGGACGGTGTGGCTTGATGCGAGGTCCCTTCCCTGCATTCCCATGTGACACATGAGCAGCTTTGGCTCTAAGCATCTTACCAGGGCCACCACCTGCAGTCCCCACAACAACCTGGGAGGGGCTGCTGTCACCAGCCTCTCCTTACAGACAAGGAACCTGGCCTTCTGAGAGGGGAGGTCCCACGGGGCAGAGGCACAGCGGGATCACAACTACTCTTTGAGGGCACATTCTGCACCTTGAATGTAGCCTAGGCTTAGCCCACTGAATCCTATGCAGTTCCCTCCTCCTATACAGATAGGGAAGCAGAGGCTCAGAGAGGTGAAACATTTGCCTGTAGAGTCACACAGCTGACTGAAGAGTATGCTGCAGCCCCAAGACCGCCTCCCTTACCTCCCCGCAAAGAGTGTGTATCTCTGAGTCCAGCCCAGCCACAGCCTCCACTCTGGGCCCTGGTTAACTTTGGCTCTTAGGAAGGGAGAAGAGGCTCCCCGAGCTTTGATCCCGTCCCCACGCGCCACTCACACGTGCAGCCCCTGGGTGGTAGGCAGCGACTTACTCTCTTCGATGGATGTTGCCTTGCCGACCTTCTCAAAGTCAAGGACAGAAAGTGTCTCCAGAACATGCTTTTGCTCTGCCACTTCTTCCAGCAGGCATTCCTGGACCAGCCTTGATAAATTAGGGGAGGCCAGTTTCTGGGAAGCAGCCCACAATGCTCCAGGTTAGCATGGAGCATGCCCGCTGAGGGCAGCCGTTACGACTCTGGCTCCCACCTGCTTGTGCCCACCTCTTCTGTCCTGGGGGCAGCTCCCTAACTGTCATCTGAGGATTCCCCTTTCACCAAGGTGGCTGAGCTAATGGGATGCAGGCTGGGCTGCCAGGGACCACCTTTGCCCCCAGACGGAGGACCAACCTGCCTGAAAGTGAAGCCAACCTACATTGCAAAGCAGAACTGAGAGAGACCTAGTCCTGATAGCATTTGAACCCGTGCATCCAGCCAGGCCTGAAGCCTACCTCTGAGGCTTTCAATGCCATGAGCCGATACATTTTCCTCTTGGCTGAGCCAGTTTGCATTAGGGTTCTGGCATCTATAGATGAAAGAGTCACTACCACAGCCTTTGGTTTAGGGCTTGGGCTGCGTAAGAGCCACAGGAGTATTCACCCAGACCCTGGTCTGCCTCTTCCACTGGGGAACAGCCTCAGTCTCACGGGCTTCCAGGATGCGGGTCTGCCACCCCTTACGATGCTTCCCACTACCTTCAAGATGAGCCCTTTGCCAAGAGGACTCCAAACCCGTCTGCCCTCCCTGACAAGTCCCCTAGCCCAGCCACCTGCAGCAGAGCTTTGCAGACTCGGAGGTGTACCGTCAGCAGCACGTCCAGCTCCGGGGCACCGGCTGTGAGTTCCCTGGATGACGTTTTCAGTGATGATGGTGGGGGCAGGGGCCGGTCCTTTCTGAGTTGAATTGAGAACTGGGTGACCATTCGGTTAGCAGTTCAGCTCCCTCTGAGGGTAGGGGGAACCCTCCCTTCCCAGAGAGCCCCAGGTCAGGGAGGCCCACTCCAGGTCCCAGGGAGTTCAACCGAGGAGGAAGGGGAAAGGAGCAAAGGGCGGCAGCAACTCAAAACAGAGCTGGACGGTGTGGCCCAGGGCCTGGGGAAGGCAGGGCGGGCAGTCGTCTTCCAGGATGTCTCGTGGAGGTAGAAGACACTTCCAACTAATCCCAGCTCTGTGGCGCTGGACAAGCCTGCCTCCCCCAGGCTCAGCTGACTCATCTGTCAAGGGAGGCAGGAGCCCCACACTCAAGGCCATGAGGGGTGCATGAAATATGGTGGGCAAGAGCACCTCACACCAAGTCCGCTCCGTGGTAGAGGCTGGACCTGCTGCCCGACCCACTCACGACTACTCAAGAAGGGCGGAAGCGAGTGTGGCACGAAATCCCACACTGGCCCATGGGACTGTGAGAGGCGAGGAGAAGGAATTGAGCCTCCGCTCTTCCACGTGGTGAGATGTGGATGCAGAAGCCCTCGGAGGGTGGGGAAGGTGAGGCTGTGTAGCCTCGAGGGAAGCTGTCATGGGAGGTGTGGGCCCTGCGGTGGGACAGAGGGAATGGCACTGGGTACTGCGGCACCTTGGTTAGAGGGCAAAGAGCTTCTTCTTTTTTTTTTTTTTTTTGAGACAGTCTCACTTTCACCCAGGCTGGAGTGCAGTGGTGCGATCTCGGCTCAATGCAACCTCCGCCTCCCGGGTTCAAGCGATTCTTCTGCCTCAGCCTCCCAAGAAGCTGAGATTACAGGCACACACCACCATGCCTGGCTAATTTTTGTATTTTTAGTAGAGACGGGGTTTCGTCATGTTGGCCAGGCTGGTCTTGAACTCCTGACCTCTGGTGATCCGCCTGCCTCAGCCTCCCAAAGAGCTGGGATTACAGGTGTGAGCCACTGTGCCTGGCCTCAAATAACTTCTATATACTCGGTGGTTATTTTTTAAGGTTTAAAAAATAATAATAAAAGCTTATTCCTTGGAGCAGAAGGCTCAGGGCAAGGCTGGGATGATCTCACCCACTTCATGGTCACTGAGGACCAGCTCTGAGCCAAGTGGGGGATGTGCGGGGATGGCGTGGGGAGGGGTGCACGATAGAGTGACAAGAGCTGAGCCAAGGAGAGTGGGAGAAACAGACCGGGAGGCCAGCAGGAAATGTGGAGCTCGGGTCACCCAGTGGGAGTGCTGGCCACTGGGTTACTGCTGGAAGGAGGTGCACTCACCGGGGACTCTGGGAGCCCCCAAACAGGGATAGCTCATCTGGGGCGAAGTCGGCATTGAGGAAGGCGAAGCTCTCCAGGATGCACTCCATCAGGCTCTCGGCCGAGGCATGCTCCTGCCGTGCTCTGCAGGGCTGTGGACGAAGTGGCCAGACCTGAGGGCAGCACCGGGCCCCACCCATCCGACTGGGATACTGTTCAGGGGCCTCACGGCAGACCTGGGCAGTGTCTGGTCCTGAGCCCTGATCCCACACACCATCCCCCAGCACAAGCCCAGCCGCTGGCCCAAGGCATGGCACTGGGCATGGCACCCCTCAAAGTCCCTCCTGAATGGCCTGTGACAAGGTAGGAGCAGAATCTTGAGGGAGACAGATCTGAAAACCCTCCCCTGTATCTCAAACCCCCACGGAGACAAGGCCAATGGCAAGAGTGAATGAGCGGCCCCAGCAGGGACCGGGGAGGCAGGAGTACAGGTGCCTCCCCTAAGAGGGGGCCGCGCTCATAGATTGCCCAGTTCTAAGAAAACCCTAAAACATGGATTTGTATGGGAAACTGCCCAGTTTTGAAATACCAACAACAAATTTCAAAGTATTTTAAATAGATGGTGTAGGTCAGGCAAACGCCTCTTCACGAGGCTCAAAGGCCTGTGGGCTTCAGGTTCCTCCACCCTGTTGGGTTTCTCTCCCCAACAGGTTAACGGAGAGTGCTGGATCCACCACCCCACCACTGGTCAAGTCACCAGAGCCTCCAGTGGCAGCTCCCTCCCTGGAGATTTCTGTCTTGTCCGCAACTCGTGGCTGGCTCCAGGGCTGGTCCCTGCCCCCGTTCCCAGCACACCCCACCCAGGCCTTGTCCAGCACAAACTGCAGCCACGGCACAGCCCAAGCAGAAGCCATAAAGCAAAACCAGGATCCTAACCATTGAGCCCAAAGAGAGAATCTCGAGGACGAAGGGAATAGCAAGGCTAGTTGCAGAGATCCCATTTTCCGATACAAAAATACATGCATACGTGTGTATGTACGTGCGTATCAATACACACATGCATATAGACTGTTGATTCTCAATAGTCAAGGTAGTAATGTTCTAGATGCCAAGGCAAGCAGATCACTTGAGGTCAGGAGTTCGAGACCAGCCTGGCCAACATGATGAAACCCCATCTCTACTAAAAATACAAAAATTAGCCAGGCATGGTGGCACAGGCCTGTAGTCTCAGCTACTCAGGAGGCTCAGGCAGGAGAATTGCTTGAACCGGGGAGGCGGAGGTTGCATTGAGCCAAGATTGCACCACTGCACTCTAGCCTGAGCAACAGAGTGAGACTCTATCTCAAAAAAAAAAAAATTAGTTATGTTCTATAAAACTCAATCAGCAAAAGCTGAACCACTGTTCCTAAGGGAGATACTGGGTTAGGTTCCTGTGAACCTCTGGTCACAGCAGTTTTATCAACACAGCAATACAGAACCTTGTATGTGTCTTTCGGTTTAAAGACACCTTGTTTAATAGCTATTGTTGGCCGGATATGGTAGCTCACGACTGTAATCCCAGCACTCTGGGAGGCCGAGGCAGGTGGATCACCTGATGTCAGGAGTTCAAGACCAGCCTAGCCAACATAGTGAAACCCCATATCTACTAAAAATATAAACATTAGCCAGGCATGATGGCAAGTGCCTATAACCCCAGGTACTAGGGAGGCTGAGGCAAGAGAATCACTTGAACCCAGGAGGCGGAGGTTACAGTGAGCCGAGATCATGCCACTGCACTCCAGCTTGGCGACAGAGTGAGACTCCATCTCAAAAAAAAAAAAAAAAAAAAAAAGATATGTTTGATTCATTAACATTGAACTCAACAGCCAGCATCGCTACAACTCATGGCTGAAGGAAGCTCATCTAACACGCATTTTCTCCGTAAGGCATTTCATAGACTTCCTGGACTGAGGAACACCAGCCGGCACTGAAGCTCTGCACTTGGGAGGCATTTAAACAGTGAAACCGTCAACAAGAAGCACAAAAACTTGAAAAACATGGCATTAAATAGACCATGAGGACGCTTGTTTACCGTTTGGGCGCTGAAACAGGAAGGCAAAGCGTTGCCTCACTTGACCTCAGCTGGGAATGTGCGCTTCGAGCAGCTCAGATTTTCTATCACTCTGCCCAGCCTCAAAAACCACTTGGAATCGCCTCGAGTACTGACTTGGGGGTTAGAAATAAATTTCAGCAAGTAGATGAATTTCAAAATACAGAATCCACGAAGAATGAGGATAAATCGTGTATGTGTGTGTGTGTATGTATGCACTCACATGATTTTTTTTTTCTTTTGAGAGAGAGTCTTGCTCTGTTGCCCAGGCTGGAGTGCATTGGTGCGATCTTGGCTCACTGTAGCCTCCGCCTCCCAGGTTCAAGTGATTCTCCTGCCTCAGCCTCCCAAGTAGCTGGGACTACAGGCACACCCTACCATACTCGGCTAATTTTTTTGTCTTTTTAGTAGAAATGGGGTTTTGCCATGTTGGCCAGGCTGCTCTTGAACTCCTAGCCTCAAGCAATCCACCTGCCTTGGCCTTTCAAAGTGCTGGGATTACAGACGTGAGCCACCGCACCCAGCATCATACATGTATTCATATACACATAGATTTGCATAAATGTGTGTGTGTGTAATTTCTCTCCAGAAAGTCAAACTAAAAACCACGGTCTGTAATCAATTTGCATTGTTCTGACTTCGTTTGCCAAAAAAAGAAAAGTTCCTCAAAGATGTTTAAAATGATTACATTATTGCGGCATTAACATTTTTATGTAAATTGGGTGTAATTTTTCAAAATACAAGTATGTGACAAATGTGCATGCTGACTCAAATACAAAAAAGAGGCCGGGCACAGTGGCTCAAGCCTGTAATCCTAGCACTTTGGGAGGCCGAGACGGGCGGATCATGAGGTCAGGAGATCGAGACCATCCTGGCTAACACGGTGAAACCCCGTCTCTACTAAAAAATACAAAAAACTAGCCAGGTGAGGTGGCGGGCGCCTGTAGTCCCAGCTACTCAGGAGGCTGAGGCAGGAGAATGGGTGAACCCGGGAGGCGGAGCTTGCAGTGAGCTGAGATCCGGCCACTGTACTCCAGCCTGGGTGACAGAGCGAGACTCCGTCTCAAAAAAAAATAAATAATAATAATAAAAAGTACAAAAAAGGTACAGGCACGGTGGCTCAAGCCTGTAATCCCAATACTTCGGGAGGCTGAGGCGGGAGACTTGTGTGAGTCCAGGAGTTTGAGACCAGCCTGGGCAACAAAGTGAGACCCTGTCTCTACAAAAAATAAACAAAATTAGCCAGGCATGGTGATGTGTGCCTGTAGCCTCAGCTACTCAGGAGGCCGAGGGTGGAGGATTGTGTGATCCCAGGAGGCAGAGGTTGCGGTGAGCCAAGATTGCACCACTGTACTCCAGCCTGGGAAACACAGTGAGACCCTGTCTCAAGAAAAACGAAAAACATAAAATACCAAAAAAGGTGACATTATTTCTTAAATTTTTTTCTGGAAATTTTAGGCAGGTCCTTTTTAACAACCATAGCAGTGGTAAACGGAACATATTTTTAAAGTTATGGATGTAAAGTGAGAAATGAAACTTGTTTCTCCTGGGCTGGTTTGTCCTGTTGGAGGTGTGGGTAGCGATAAAATGTGTTTGAAGAGAGCTGTTAACTATTTCAGTGCCAAAGTGTGTCTTACACAAAAGAGGGGAAAACAGAAAACAGCAAAATCAGAGAAGTACACAGCCAGTCTGAGGGCATAAGGACCGCGGGAACAGAGCAGGAAGGGATGGGCTTGCCAGGGCCCGGTGGGAGTTGCCATTTAAAAGAAGGTGTCCAGGCCGGGTGCAGTGGCTCATGCCTGTAATCCTGGCACTGTGGGAGGCTGAGGCAGGGGGATCACTTGAGGTCAGGAGTTTGAGACCAGCCTGGCCAACATGGCGAAACCCCATCTCTACTAAAAATACACAAATTAGCCAGGCGTGGTGGTATGCACCTGTAATCCATGCTACTTGGGAGGCTGAGGCAGGAGAATCGCTTGAACCTGGGAGGAAGAGGTTGCAGTGAGCCGAGATTGCACCACTACACTCCAACCTGGGCAACAGAGCGAGACTCCATCTCAAAAAATAAATACATAAAAAATAAAAGAGGGTGTCCAGGGAAGGATGTCTTTAAGTTAATAGATGTATTAATAGGTACTAGTGGTATACATTTTATGTACATTCAAATTTGTGTAAACACAAGAGGGGAATATAATAATTTGCCCAGGTCAGCGCCTCTGAAAGCCACCTGCCACCTAAGCCCTCCTGTGAACTGAGAACACCCTGGGGTATGAGCCCTGTGGAGGGGAAGGTTCGGTGCGGGGTGCGTGGATGAGGCAAGCGGAACTGTGTGGGGCCTTCCACGGAGCCAGCTCTGACCCTGACAACACTCCAAGTTTGGGTTTGTAGCCACGAGCCACAGCCCCACCCACCCAGGTCAGAAGGTGCGAGACGGGCCAGGTTCTGGCTGGATGTGCTGAGCTGTTACTGTGAACTCTTAGAATCTTCCTGAGCCCCATGAGGGCTATTGTTATCCCCACTTGCCGGATGAGGAAACCAAGGCCCACAGAGACATGGCCTACCCAGGTCACGCAGGGATGAGGCCAGGATGCCGGCCCAGGCTGTGTGGCCCCAGAGCCCACTCCCAGTCATCATGCCATCAGCAAAGCAGGGCCGCCGCCCAGGGCGGGGTGGGCATACCTTCAGCCGGTCCCGGAAACCTAGGACCTGGTACTCCAGCTCCCGGAGCTGGGGCTGGGTGGAGTCCGTGGGCCTCAGCAACTCCAGGACCTCCTGCAGAGGCCCCTCGAGGGCCACGCCAGGCCCCTCCTCTCTGTCCCCGGTTGCCCCTTCCTCGTGGCCTTTCTGGCTACTCGGGGCTGTGCCACTGTGGAACAGGGAGCCCTGTGGCAGGCTGGGGCTCTCCACTCCTAGGTTCCTCCAGCCGGGCTGCTCTGCACATGGGCCTCCCGAGAGGTGGGCCATGTCTGGCAGGAGACCTGGGGACAGGGGCTCCTCCCGGGCCTCCTCTTCAATGGAGGCGTGGGGGCCGACGGCCAAGGGCAGGAAGCCCGCATCTGAGGTGGACGCTGACGTGCTGGTCTCCGTGTCTCGGGGGTCCTCAGAGCTGAAGGAGTCCATCTCAGGTAGCTCCTGACTCTGGCTTCTTAGGCTGGGACCCCGGAGGTCGCTGTCAGACAGGTAGCTGAGGATGGAGGTGGCTCTTGGGCCACCGAGTAGCAAGGCCTGCTGTGTTGGCTGCTGTAGGACAGACTGGAGAGGGGACACCGGAGTGGCCTCACCAGCCACCCCAGGGACCACAGCAAGTCCCCCAGAGGGGCTTCCCCTGACAGACACCTGCTCCGCATGCCCGTGTTCTCAGGTTGACTGAGGCCTGCCCAGGCGACCAGCATCCCAGAGGTGCAGACAAGACCCTGTCCCCTCTCTGCACTTATCCCCCATCCCGCCTCCAACTCACTCCCAGCAGCCTCCTGACTGTTGTTCATGCCCCGTGGGCTGGGCCCCCTGTGCCTGCCTCAGAGCCTTTGCACTGACTGTGCTCTGGCCACTCTTCCCCATGTGCCTTCACGGCTTGTGCCCTCGCCTCCTCAGGACCTTACTTAGGTGTCACCTCTCCTGAGAACCCTGCCCTGGACAGCCTTTTTTAAGTGGCAACTTCCACCTGGCCCCAGTGGGCCCCTTCCCTTCCTGCTGTCTCCCACAGTCCTTACGCCCCTGGGCTGACTGTGCACTTGTCGGATTTTGGTATCATCTATTTCCCCTGTAGAATTTCAGCTCCCTGAGGGCACAGTCTTTGCCTGGCCTGGAGCAGAGCCTAGCATATAATTTCTTTTTTTTTGTTTTGAAATAGTCTCACTCTGTTGCCCAGGCTGGAGTGCAGTGGCACTATCTCAGCTCACTGCAACCTCTGTCTCCCGGACTCAAGCAATTCTCCTGCCTCAGTCTACTGAGTAGCTGGGATTACAGTGGCACTTCACCACGCCTGGCTAATTTTTGTATTTTTAGTAGAGATGGGGTTTCACCATGTTGGCCTGGCTGGTCTCAAACTCCTGACCTTAGGTGATCCACTTGCCTCAGTCTCTCAAAGTACTGGGATTACAGGCATGAGCCACTGCACCCAGCCTAGTTTTGAATGAAGTGAATGAATGAATGAATGGCCCAATATACACACCATAGAAACAGCAGCAGCTGTTATTAAGCATTCTGAGGTTGCCGGCCCTTCTCCAGGGCCTTCGCATTACCCTCACCACACCCCATGGGGGTGGCACTGCCCTAACCTCAGAGAGGTCCTCAGGCCACACGGATGGTGAATACAGTGCCACAGTGTGAATCTGGGTACATGGACACGAATGCTTCCTCTCATCAGCTGAACCAATGATAATGGTTGGTGTTCATTAACTCAGTTAACTCTCACAACAATCCCATAAGGGCAGTGCTGTTATTCTCACTTCTCTGATACAGAAATTGAAGTCCAGAGAGGGCTGGGCACGGTGGCTCATGCCTGTAATCCCAGCACTTTGGGAGGCTGAGGTGGGTGGATCACCTGACATCAGGAGTTCGAGACCAGCCTGGCTAAGATGCTAAGATGGTAAAACCCCATCTCTACTAAAAATATACAAAAATTAGCCGGATGTGGTGGTGTGTGCCTATAATCCCAGCTACTCAGGAGGCTGAGGCAGGAAAATCTCTTGAACCCAGGAGGCAGATATCGCAGTGAGCTGAGATTGTACGACTGCACTCCAGCCTGGGCAACAAGAGTGAAACTTCCTCTCAAAAAAAAAAAAAAAAAAAGAGGTGCATACACTTGCTGGTAGATGGATTGCTATCTCTGGAAGAATATGGAAGAAACTGATTACAGGAGTTGGCATTAAGGAGGGGACCCTGATTCATGGAGATCACAGGAAAGAGATGTTTTACTAGGCACTCTGTCAAGTAATATTACTAGAAACGTATATATTAAGGCCAAGGCCATGGCTGGGGTGGTAGAACCATCCAGAGAGCCCATTGCAGATGTTCTGAAGAACCAGCCAAGCCCAGAACCCAGGCTGGGATGGAGGCTAGCAGCAGAGGAAGAAAGCGCACAAGAGAACACCCAGGATCACCCCAAACGGAGGCTGAGCCTGAGGCTTGCCATGTCTGGGAGGGCCAGACTGCTCAGCCCAGCCCCCGCGTGCTGCCCCCATCCCAGGGTGACCACAGCAGCCCTGCCCCAGGGAAGGCCCACTCACCAGGTAGTATCTCTCCCGGAAGCTGGGGGTGCTCGGGGGTGTCCAGTTGTACAAGGAGCCCTTCCTGCTGCCCATAGAAAACTTGCCTATGGGGCTGGGTGACACCAGGAAGCTCTCAGTATCAAACGGGCTGGAGGAGAGAACAGAAGGCCAGGATGCCATCAGTGCCCAGAGGCCATCTCAGGCCCAGACGGCCCAGGTTACACCTGGGTTACACAGGTAGATGGTCTTCATCTTACAATATAATAGCATGGATGGTGTGCAAGGAACTCTGCTCTAAACTGTTTTTTTGAGACAGGGTCTTGCTCTGATGCCCAGGCTAGAGTGCAGTGGTGCCATCACAGCTCACTGCATCCTTGAACTCCTGGGTTCAAGTGATCCTCCTGCCTCAGCCTCCTGTGTAGCTATGACCACAGGCATGTACCACCATGCCGGACTAATTTTTAAATTAATTTTTATTTTTTGTAAAGACAGGGTCTCACCATGTTGCCCAGGTTGGTCTCGAACTCCTGGGCTCAAGCAATCCGCCTGCCTCAGCCTCCCAAAGTGCTGGGGCTATAGGCCGTGAGCCACTGAGCCCGGCCTCTACTAAACACTTTACACAAATCCTTATTTCCACCCCCAGTGGCAGCCCTCTGTGGCCTGGAAAATTATTTACAGGGGAGGAAAGGAAGGCTCTGAGAGATAGGTGACTTGCTTAGGGCAGTGTCACAACCAACCACGCGAGATGGAACTGAATTCACACAGAGATTTCTCTGACTCCAAAGCCTTAAAGATCACTAAAGGCTTTGGCTACTCTTCAGACATCACTGTACTTAACGGATTTAAGAGGAAATGGGCCGGGTGCGGTGGCTCACACCTGTAATCCCAACACTTTGGGAAGCCAAGGCAGCCAGATCACTTGAGCTCAGGAGTTCGAGACCAGCCTAGGTAACCTGGCAAAACCCCCATCTCTACAAAAAATGAATACATGAGCTGGGCTAACGTGGTGACCGATGCATGCTTGTAGTCCCAGCTACTCAGGAGGCAGAGGTGGGAGAAGCACTTGAGCCTGGGAGGTGGAGGCTGCAGTGAGCCGAGATTATGCCACTGCTCTCCAGTCTGGGCAACAGAGCGAGATTCTATCTCAAAAAAAAAACAGGAAATGGAGGCCTGGGTCTCCAAGGCCAGGGCCTTGCGCATGGTCACAGGTGCAGCCTAGGAACTCCAAGTTACATGGCCTCGACCCCTTTAGAAATGTTTCTCAAGGCCGGGCGCACTGGCTCATGCCTGTCATCCAGCACTTTGGGAGGCCAAGGCGGGTGGATCACCTGAGGTCAGGAGTTTGAGACCAGTCTGGCCAACATGGCGAAACCCCATCTCTCCTAAAAATACAAAAAAATTAGCTGGGCATGGTGGCGGGCAGCTGTGATCCCAGCTACTTGAGAGGCTGAGGCTGGGGAATTGCCTAAATCTGGGAGGCAGATGTTGTAGTGAGCCGAGATCACGCCATTGCACTCCAGCCTGGGCGACAGAGCGAGACTCTGTCTCAAAAAAAAAAAAAAAAAAAAAAAAAAAAATTTCTCAGCCTCTGACCACCCTGAGGGCCCTGAGCCAGATGGTGAGGGACAATGACTAGGAGCAGGAGAGCAGGATCTGGAGGCAGAAACCTCAGGCCAATGTATGCTAAATCAAGGAAGGACACCAAGGTCTGAAGGGACAGAGAATTGCCAATTAATGCAATCTTCCTAAAGCTAACCCAAAAGGAAAAATCCCGTCTCCCCACACTGAAGGATCAAAGTCCCTACAGCCCTCCCACCTCCACACGGCCCACATGGAAAGGGAGGGTGCCTTGGATGGGCTACTGGCAAAACAAGGGCCGTCCCTCTATCTGCGTAGGGTGCCATCCACCTCAGCCTCTAACCACAGACCAGCTCCTTTATCCAGACAAGGGGCAGCCCATAGGAACCTCAAACGGGGTACTTAAAGCCCAGAAACTTTGTAACCAGGCCCTTGAGCCACATGCTTGGGCCCACTCCCACCCTGCAGAGTGCTTTCTTGCCTTTTTTCTTTTTTTTTTTTTCCTCTGAGACAGTCTTGCTCTATTGCCCAGGCTGGAGTGCAGTGGTGCCATCTTGGCTCACTGCAGCCTCTGCCTCCCAGGTGCAAGCAGTTCTCCTGCCTCAGCCTCTCAAGTAGCTGAAACTACAGGCCCGCACCACCACGCCTGGCTAATTTTTGTGTTTTTAGTAGAGACGGGCTTTCGCCTTGTTGGCCAGGCTGGTCTCAAACTCCTGACCTTGGGTGATCTGCCCACCTAGGCCTCCCAAAGTGCTGGGATTACAGGCGTGAGCCACCGTGCCCAACCTGCTTTCTTGCTTTAATAAAGCCCTGCTGCTTCATTCCTGCATTTCATTCCTCTGCTCCTTTTGTGCATTTTGTTCAAGTCTTTGTTCAAAACGCCAAGGACCTGGACAATTCATTATCAAGACCCTCCACCAATAACAACTGGACACCCCCAATTAGAGGCCCCTTTGAGAAGCTCAGCCAATGAGCAGGGGACACTCAGTTCAGACCCCTCGTCTGTAAAAGGGGCGCCCTTACAGAAGAACCTCCATGTGGAACATGCACAGGGAAGGCTGGGAAGCCAGGTGAGCGCATGGGAGCACAGAGGTGAGTGATGCTCAGCCTGTCCTGTGTCCAGCCCTGCACTCGGAGCAGGTAGGTCCCCGTAGACCCTCCTGCCTCGAAGAAACTTGCTCATAATTATCTGCACAAAGGCCTGGCTCGTGGCACCTGGGCCTGGCCTGACCAGAAGTCCTACAGCTCAGAGGCTCTGCAAGTGCCCGCTTCTCTGCCTGGGGTATCTGCAGACCCGCAGGCGCCCTGGGTCCTAGGCTTGGATGGCATTGAGCTGCCCACCACCCTCTACACTTCAGGGGCCCCTGGGCAACAGGTATTCTCAGCCCTACCAGAGAGGTGAGGACCCTGAGGGTGCAGGTGGTCGCTCACCAGAATTCACCCAGTTCACGGGGGAAGAGGGCAGCAGCTCTGTGACCCCCAGCTCAGACACCCACCCTAGGCAGAGAGGAGAGAGACCAGCCCCGACTGGCCAGAGCAAGCACAGAGCAGAGGAGGCTCCTCAGCCCTCCCTCCTGCTGCCCCTGTGCCAAGGAGGAGGAAGGGAACGCCTTGGAAATGCAAAGCTTCCTTAGAACAAAGAGCTCTGGAGCCCACCACGCTGACGGGCACGCTCATGGGCACGCTCATGGGCTCCAGGGGATGATCTCACGGACATGGGCTTCATGGGTCTGCAGCTGAGAAGGGGACGCAGGTGACTGCTCAGCCCTGGGCCTGAGGGGCAGCCAGGGTCGGCCAGGAATGAGGGGGTGGGAGCAGCAAGGAGGGCCTCCCTGGAGAGGTGAGCCTCCTCCAAGGAGCCAAGCCTGGAGGCCCTGGAAAGTGTCCCCCGCAAACTTCCCTGAGGCTTTAATAGTTGGGTTCAGAAGCAAGAATGGAAGCAAAACCAGAAAGGCAGGAAGGGGCTGCAGAGAAGGTCCAGGCCTTGGCAGGAGTGAGGGACAGATGAGGACCCGTGAGGGCGGGGACACCCTCGGTGGAGGCTGGTGCAGGAACCCAGGGCCAGCGTGTGGTCAGGCCACCAGGGGCAGCCGGCCAGGCCTCCGCTGTCCCCAGGCTGGGCGGGACTCACTTCCACTGCACCTCCAGCTGCAACTTGATGGTACCCAGCTCTGTGATGTCCACCACGATGACCTGTGGCCGTGTCGTGAAGAAGTCGGCGATGTCACACGTCACTGTGCCCACAGCCAGCGAGCCCAGACCCCGCAGTTCCATCACCTAGGGGTGGGGGCTGGAGGGTGGTGTCTGAGCTGAGCACCCAGGCACCCCAGCCCCGCCCCCAGGCCTCATCCCCACCTTGATGTCCAGGTTCTCATGCAGCGTGGGGACGAAGGTCTTCTCCTCTTCATCCCAGGTCTGACTGTCATCTGACTCAATCCGACCCTTGAGCTTCCAGCGCTGGCGGCCCAGACGCATGAGCACCTGTGAACCAGCCCGAGAGGGGCCGCGTCAGCCCAGGTGGGTGTCCCGTTGCTGCCCGCCCAGGGCCCTCCCTGCCAGACAGAGCCCCACCTGCAACCCTGGTTCCCAGCAGCTCCCATCCCCCAAAGACCTGGTGGGGAGCCCTGAGGATTGACCCTGGAGGGTGGCCGTACCTCATAGTGGTCTCCGGGACAGAGGCGTGCGTAGCCCACCAAGCCTGGAACACAGACATGTCCAGTCTCCCCTCTGCCTTCCACTGTCCCTGACTTGGGACCACATGTCCTCGCTGGGGGTCCCCCGAGTATAGGTTTTCAGTTTCAGTGGGGTGAGGATGGGGGGAGGGGAAAACCATCACGATGGATAATGGGCAGGAGGGTGCTGGGCCCTCACACCAGGCTCAGAGAGGGGTGGGACTTGCCAGAGGTCACATGTCACATGGATGCAAAAGCCAGGGCTGGGTTCAGACCCCTGGGATTCTAGCCAATTCCCGCGCTCCTCAGCAGAAGTCTCAGGGCCTCCAGAAAGGCCTCCGCCCAACCCCTCTCAGCCCTGTTACCTTTCATCCGGATGTGGAACTCGCCCAGGTGAACCTCCAGGGCCCCCTCGATGAGCCACATGTCCTGCAAAGCCCCGGAGTTGGCTCAGGAGGCTGCCTGGGGCTAGGCCACGGGGGCCTCTAACCATCCCTGCAGCCAGACAGAGGCCCAGCTCTCGGTGTCCCCACTGCCCGACCCAGCTCCACACTGCCCCTGCTGCCCAGCCCAGCTTGGCCCGGCCCACCTCGGCGCACTCGTGCAGGCTGCGGCCCAGCTCCTGCAGGCTCTCTCGGGCCGCGCGGCTCGGGGGGCACCTGGCGAAGGCCCGCTGCATGCTGGAGGCACCGTCGCGCAGGCGGCACTGGATGCAGTAGTCCTCGTACAGCTCGTCCACCTGTGGTGGGCACACGGGCTGGTGGCGCTGCCCACGCGGAGGGGTGGCCCCACACCTGCCTGTCGACTTCTCCCCTCTGGGAGAGGCCCTCCCTGAGCTAAGTACCCCGCTAGCCCAGCCTATGGCGGCAGTCACTACCTGTCCAGTCCCATTCAAAGCACTCACCCCTGGCCCCAGTAGGACGTGAACCCCCATAGGCAGGGACCACATCTGCCTCACCCGCCTCACCCGCCTCACCCGCCACCCCTGCCACCCCTGCCTCACCCACCACCCCGCCTCACCCGCCACCCCTGCCACCCCTGCTACCCCTGCTTCACCCGCCTCCCCTGCCTCACCTGCCTCACCCGCCTCACCCGCCTCCCCTGCCTCACCCGCCACCCCTGCCTCACCCGCCTCCCCTGCCTCACCCGCCTCCCCTGCCTCACCCGCCTCCCCCGCCACCCCTGCCTCCCCCGCCTCCCCTGCCTCCCCCGCCTCCCCTGCCTCCCCCGCCACCCCTGCCTCCCCCGCCACCCCTGCCTCACCCGCCTCCCCTGCCTCACCCGCCACCCCTGCCTCACCCGCCTCCCCTGCCTCACCCGCCTCCCCTGCCTCACCCGCCACCCCTGCTTCACCCGCCTCACCTGCCTCACCTGCTTCACCCGCCTCACCTGCTTCACCCGCCTCACCTGCCACCCCTGCTTCACCCGCCTCACCTGCTTCACCCGCCTCACCTGCTTCACCCGCCTCACCTGCCACCCCTGCTTCACCCGCCTCACCTGCCTCACCTGCCGCACCTGCTTCACCCGCCTCACCTGCCACCCCTGCTTCACCCGCCTCACCTGCTTCACCCGCCTCACCTGCCACCCCTGCTTCACCCGCCTCACCTGCTTCACCCGCCTCACCTGCTTCACCCGCCTCACCTGCTTCACCTGCCTCACCTGCCTCACCTGCCTCACCTGCCTCACCCGCCTCCCCTGCTTCACCCGCCTCACCTGCCACCCCTGCCTCGCCCGCCTCCCCGCCTCGCCCGCCACTCCTGCCTCGCCTGCTGCATACCCAGCTATTGGCAGCAACTGGCACACAGTGTGCACAGCAAAAATGAGTGAAAGGGACAAGGGAATCTGTCCCTTCTCCTCCTCTGCCTGGTTTTTCAACAGTGAAACGGGAGGTGAGTTTGTGATAGCCTGCCACCCGCTGGGCAGTGCGGGGAGTAAAGCAAGATCATGAAACTGCAGACTCTAAAGCTTAAGGATCTGCTGTGCGACTTTGGGCCAACCCATGTTCCTCTCTGGACCTCTGCTTTTCCATCTGTACAATGGGCTGGGAGGGTTCAACCTTCCCAGCCATCTAAGACTGAGCATGAGGTCTTTCTGCATAAACTGAAGAAAGAGCCCACGCTGTCCTCAGAGAGTCCCACCTCGGGGCTGAGCCCCCCGACTCCCACCTCAGGGCTGAGCCCCTGCTGTCCCTCAGCTGTCCCAAGGCCCCTGCTTATCCTTAGCCTCCTGCAGCTGCCCCATACCCCAAGGCCCTGACCCCTGCTCCGAGGGCACCTCCCCAGCTCCTGCTAACCTAGCTGAGGCCCAGCAAGCTGGCACTGCCCTGCCCCACCCTGCAACACCCACGAGCCGCTGACCTTGCTGATGTGAAACTCCATCTTCCGAATGTGCCTTTCCACACAGCGCGTTTGCTTCTCCCGGAAAAAGGGAAGATGTTTGCAAAGTCGCCCGGGCCACCCGCCGGCCCTGCTTGCCCCTGCCACCCTCCTGCAGGTCCTAACTCAGAGAATGGGGTTTAGTGCTGGGCCGGGCCCTCACCATCCCTGAGGAAGGCTCATCGCAGAGCCTCAGCCTTCCCATTCCTAAAATGGGAAGGAAACCCAGGTATTCTGCCCATCGGGCAGCCAGGAGGATGCAATGAGGCACAGTCATTCTCATCCAGCAGGGCCCAGCCCACCTCACTCACCATATGCAGACTCACCTTGTCCAGGTCGTAATAGAAAGCCTGTGGGGGAGGAAAGGAAGGCGGAAGAAGCTGTTAGAGTCCCACATGTTCCTCCAAGGCCTATGAGCTTTATGCTGGCATTGCCTGAGCTCAGAGTCAGAGGACAGAAAGCCATGTCTACAGCCACCCCCACTCCTTCCTCTGCCAATGGCAGGCTGCTGTCCATGCCAAGGACAGCACTGATTAAACACATGCACGTTGGATGAGGCAGTTCTAGGTCTGGCTCTTCTATTTCCCAGCTGTGTGTCCCAGGCAAGTCATTCAACCTCTCTGGGCCTCCATTTCCTGCTATGCAAAGCAGGGTAGGAGAAGCGCCTGCCTCATAGGGAGAAAAAAGGACACAGAAGGCCCTTGACAAAATGGGAGCCATTGGGATTGAAGGGATGGCCTCAGCCATGACCAAAAGAATGTGAGGGGGATGGAAGCGGGAGGGGCACATGGCACAGAAGTTCAAGCCTTAATGGTGAATTCCTAAGTCTATCTATTCCAGAGACCAGGGTGCGACCATGACAAATAATATATCATCAGGGCAGGCAAACCTTTCCATAGGTTTATAAAGGGCCAGATAGTAAATATGTCAGGTTTGGCAGGCCAGGGCGCCCCATGCCAAGATCTATAAATTAGAACCATCCTGGCCAGGCGCAGTGACTCGCGCCTGTAATCCCAGCACTTTGGGAGGCTGAGGTGGTCAGATCACTTGAGGTCAGGCGTTCGAGACCAGCCTGGCCAACATGGCGAAACCCTATCTCTACTAAAAATATAAAAACTAGCTGGGCATGGTGGTGCATGCCTGTAATCCCAGCTACTTGCCAGACTTGAGGCAGGAGAATCACTTGAACCTCAGAGGTGGAGGTTGCAGTGATCCAAGATCGCGCCACTGTACTCCAGCCTGGGTGACAGAGCGAGACTCAATCTCAAAAAAAAAAAAAAAAAGTAGGACCATCTAAAACATACACATCTTTGCCTACCTTAGAGTTACTTCTAGAACCAAGAAAGAGAATGTGAAGTGGGCCTAAGGCATGTGAAGTGCTGTACCTGCCTGTGGGATTAAGTTCATCAGGGTCAAAGTTCTGTCCTAACTAAGCAACTCTGCCATCATAGCGGGAAAGCAGCCACAGACAATATGTACATGAACAAGTGTGGCCAAGAAACTTTTTTTTAAACAAATGTTTAAAAAACTCTTGTTTTTTAAGTGGCTCTAATTTTAAAATATAGTGACTCTAATTTTCACTGGCTGTTAATTGCCAGTGGAGATTACAGTCACTATGTCTGAACCTGGAGGGGTTACCATGAGGTTGGAGATCCACCAGGAAAAAAAAGTAAGCTGTAGGAGAGTATGTAAATTGACATTTCATTTTTGTAAGACAATTATTAACTCACAACTGCTAAACACATTTACATGATTATGTGACCAGAGAGAAAAATATGGAAAGATCAATACAAAATTGTTCTCAAGGGTTAAACAGGGTGGGACACAGAAGATCGAATGGAGGAGGGCATCAATCAAGAGAGAAAGAAGGATTCAACCCCAAAAAGTCCCATGTATGTATTTATGTGAAATTGTACGTATACGATAAAGAAATAAAAATTCCATTTAAGCCAGGTAAAGTGGCTCACACCTGTAATCCTAGCACTTTGGGAGGCCAAGGCAGGAGGATCACTTGAGCCCAGGAGTTCAAGACCAGGCTGGGCAACATAGCAATACCCCATCTCTACAAAAAATGTAAAAATTAGCTGGGCATGGTGGCACACACCTGTAGTCCCAGCTACTCGAGAGGCTGAGGTAGGAGGATTGCTTGAGCCCAGGAGTTCAAGGTGATGGAGAGCTATGATTGTACCACTGCACTTCAGCCTGGGTGACAGAGTAAGACCTTATCTCTTTAAGAATAAATGAATGAATGAATGTATGAATAAATAAATAAATAAAATCTTTTTAAAATTAAGAATTAAAACTTCATTTAAGAAATAAAGAAACAGGACTGGCGCAGTGGCTCATGCCTATAATCCTAGCATTTTGGGAGGCCAAGGTGAGTGGATCACCTGAGGTCAGGAGTTCGAGACCAGTCTGTCCCACACGGTGAAACCCCCTTTCTACTAAATAAAAAATACAAAAATTATCCTGGCATGATTGTGTGTGCCCGTAATCCTAGCTACTCGGGAGGCTGAGGCAGGAGAATCACTTGAGCCTGGGAGACAGAGGTTGCAGTGAACGGAGATCTTGACACTGCACTCTAGGCTGGGTGACAGAGCGAGACTCCATTCCGGAAAAAAAAAAAAAAAAAAGAAATAAACAAAGAGGAAAGATCCCAAGCCTTTGAAAAGAAGAGTGACTACCCAGCAACGTCTTGAAAACCAGTATCTGTTTTAAATGAGAACCAGCAGTGTCACAGGAGCAGGACCCAACATAGGCATCTTGCTATGTGGCTCCAGTGCGGTCACTGTGCCCCGGCCTCAGTGTGCCCATCTATGACATGGGAGCAGCTAAAACATACATGTATTTATACTCTTGCCTACTTTAGAGTTACTTCTAGAACAGAAAGAATGGGAAAGGAAGTCCACGGGGTGAGACTTGCTGCACCCGTGTGAGAAGAGGGGCAGGTGCTGGAGCTGGATGAGATCTTGGCAGCACCTCCTCCCACCATCTGCTGCTGGTCACCCGCCCAACTGTCCACCAAGGGTGAAGCATGCTAAGCTTGGCAGACCTTTCCCTCCCCAAGTCCCTGCCTGGCACACGCATGAGGCTGGGCCCTTACCTCTCCCACCCTGCCCACTCCAAGGCCCTCTCTGCTGGAGCCAGGATACAGAGAAAGCTGCTTGTTGGCTTATTTCATTCATTCATTCATTCATTCATTCATTCATTGAAACAGAGTCTGGCTCTATCATCCAGGCTGGTGTACAGTGGTGTGATCTCACCTCACTGCATCCTCCGCCTCCTGGGTTCAAGCTATTCTCCTGCCTCAGCCTCCCGAGTAGCTGCGACTATAGCTGCCCACCACCATGCCTGGCTAATTTTTGTATTTTTAGTACAGATGGGATTTCATCATGTTGGCCAGGCTGGCTTCAAACTCCTGATCTCAAGTGATCCACCTGCCTTGGCCTCCCAAAGATTACAGGCGTGAGCCACTGCGCTGAGCCGCTGGATGCTATTTTAGTAGAAAAACTCATCTCCCCTCCTCGATTTCCCAGTCCCTCAGTCAAGCTGGTGGCCTGCTCTGCATGTTGGCGCTTTGGAGGAGGGATTCTGGGAAACACTGGCTGGGAGGAGAATCCCACAGCAGCAAGGCCTCCTTGCTTTTGTTTCCAAATCTAATTCATTAAGGACATGTGGGGTTTTCGCAAGGCAGCAGTGGAGACTTCCCAGATAAAAGGAAGATCCTCCCGCTGGAAGGATGAAGTCCCTGAGCAGTGGGATCCTAGCCATGTCACCAGATAAAATACAGGACACCTAATTAAAATTAAAATTTCCAATAAACAAGGAACAATTATTTTCACATAAGTATGTCCCAGAGATTCCATGGGATATACTTATACCTAAACAAATTTGTGATTTGTCTGAAAAACCAAAAGGGGAGGCCGGCACAGTGGCTCATGCCTGTAATCCCAGCACTTTGGGAGGCCGAGGCAGGCAAATCACCTGAGGTCAGGAGTTTGAGACCAGCCTGACCAATGTGGTGAAACCTTGTCTCTACTAAAAATGTGAAAAAACAGCTGGGTGTGGTGGTGGGTGCCTGTAATCCCAGCTACTCAGGAGGCTGAGGCAGGAGAATTGCTTGAACCTGGGAGGCAGAGGTTGCAGTGAGCTGATACTGTGCCACTGCACTCCAGCCTGGGCAACAGAGTGAGACTCCGTCTCAAAAAAAAAAATTTTTTTAATGAGGTATGCTATTTGTGAGTGTGTGTGTGTGTGTGTGTGTGTATGTGTGTTGCTAAGTCTGTCTCTGCTAAGAGAAAGGCAAAAACCAGAGCAGGTGAGCCTTGAGCAACACAGGGCCCAGGGCCAGCCTCAAAGACACTGCCTTGGCTGGACACGGGAGGACTGCTGGAGCCCAGGAGTTCAAGACCAGCCTAGGCAACATGATGAGACCCTGTATCTAAAAAAAATGTTAAAAATTAGCTGGGCATGGTGGTGCACGCCTGTAGTCTCAGTTACTTGGGAGGCTGAGGTAAAAGGAACGCTGGAGCCCAGGAGGTGGAGGTTGCAGTGAGCCGGGATTGTGACACTGGACTCCAGCCTGGGCAACAAAGGGAAATCCTGTCTCAAAAAAAAAAAAAAGACGCTCCCCTGATGATGGCAGGAAACGCTGCCTGTCAGCTGCACACTGAAGGAACACGCGGGCTTCATCAAGGACAGCGGCAGGGGCCACTGTGACATACCCGAGATGTGACACCTGACCCACTTTCCTGGCATTACAGAAGCCATCTCAAGTCCAGGTCACCTGATGGCCAAGGTCTATAAAGTAGGACGACCTAAAAGAAATGCACCTCTATACTCTGCCCACCTTAGCGTTACTTCTAGAACCGAGAGAGAGTGTGACGTGGGCCTAAAACGTGTGAACTGCTCTATGTGCCAAAGTGAAGTTAACTCAGCACAACATAAAGAGGCTATTCCGTAAACCTCTAGTTCTGAGACAGAGTCACACCGTGACATAGGCTAGGGGGAACGCGGGTTCATCTTTTACTCCTGGCCGAGGCTATCTGGGTGGGAAGCAGGCAGGGAGGGGTCTCACCAGCCTGGAATTCCTCCTGGTGTCCTTGTGGCGTCCAGACAGGTGGTCCAGCTCAGCCTGCTGCACACACAGATACTCCCTGCAAGGAGAGCGAGGAAGAGTTTCAAATGGAAGAGGAACAAGAAAGGGAAAGGAAACAGGCCAAATGGACAGTGTCCCCGTGTGGAGAGCAGACACGGGGCTCAGCGGGGCTCAGAAGCAGGTAGGAAGCCCAGCCCCCTCACACTGGGGGCTGTGTGCCCAGCACCGTGCAAAATTGGTTATGGGGAAGTTCCTAGTGAATTCCCTCACCAGGCCCACAAGTAGGTCCTACTGTTATTATGTGCATTTTATTTATTTATTTATTTATTTTTTGTTTGTTTATTTGAGACAAGGTCTCCCTCTCTTGCCCAGGCTGGAGTGCAGTGGTGTGATCACAGCTCACTGCAACTTCTACCTCCTGGGTTCAAGTGATTCTTGTATCTCAGTCTCTTGAGCAGCTGGGACTATGGGTGTGTGCCACCACACCTGGCTGATTTTTGTATTTTTAGTAGAGACGGGGTTTCACCATGTTGGCCAGGCTGGTCTCAAACTCCTTGACTTCAGATGATCCGTCTGCCTTGGCTTCCAAAAGGGCTGAGATTACTGGCATGAACTACTGCGCCCAGCCTAGTATATGTATTTTAAAGACAGACAAACCAACCCTCGAAGGCAGCAAGTACCCCAGCCCTGGTCACACAGCAGACAAGAGGCTGACCCAGGTCTGAAACCACACAGTGGCCTTCAGAGCCCAAAATCTTCACCCCCTCCCAAGCTGGGGCCCAGCTCATGGGGAGGCCATCATGGCACACCTCCCTCAAGGTCAAGGGTCTAGACCAGGTGCCGTGGCTCACGCCTGTAATCCCAGCACTTTGGGAGGCTGAGGTGGGCGATCACAAAGTCAGGAGATCGAGATCATCCTGGCTAACACGGTGAAACCCCATCTCTACTAAAAATACAAAAAAATTAGCTGGGTGTGGTGGCACACACCTGTAGTCCCAGCTACTCAGGAGGCTGAGGCAGGAAAACTGATTGAACCCAGGAGGCGAAGGTTGCAGTGAGCCGAGATGGCGCCACTGCACCCCACCCAGGCAACAGAGCGACTCCGTTCCAAAAAAAAAAAAAAGGAGGGGTCTAGATATGTGGGGGGCCAGGGCAGGGAGTCCCATCTTGCTGGATTTGCTGAGTCACCCCACGAAGGTCACTCACCCTCTCTGGGCTCTACTGACACCACCTCAAATGTGGAAAAGAGAGCTTCTGCCAGGCTGCTACTCACTGAAGTGTTGAGCTTTCTGAGAAGGGACTGCCTTGGCCCCAGACAAGTCTCAAACATGTGGTCCTTAAAGGACACAGAATCTGCCCTTCAGAAACGTGCTCTACCCTCCATGCACATCCTAGCTCCAACTCTGCACAATCCCAGCTCGCTGCAACCTCCACCTCTACAGGGTTTTGCCATATTGCCATGCTGGTCTCGAACTCCTAGGCACAAGGAATCCGCCTGCCTCAGCCTCCCAAAGTCCTGGGATTACAGGGTGGCCACCACTGTGCCCGAACAAGGATGTATATTTTGAAAACCATTTCATTCTAAGGTGGTTTCACTTTTTTTATTTTTTGAGTCTTGCTCTGTCGCCTAGGCTGGAGTGCAATGGTGTGATCTTGGCTCACCACAACTCCCACCTCCCGGGTTCAAGTGATTCTCCTGCCTCAGCCTCCTGAGTAGCTGGGATGACTGACATGCCCCATCATGCCCGGCTAATTTTGTATTTTTAGTAGAGACGGGGTTTTACCGTGTTGGCCATGCTGGTCTCAAACTCCTGAACTTGTGATCTGCCTGCCTTCGCCTCCCAAAGTGCTAGGATTACAGGCCCACCGCGCCCGGCCTGGTTTCAACTTTTAATTGACTCTGGTTCCTCTTTCAGGTGCCCCGTCTATAAATAAGAGATGTAGGGGCTGGGCGTGGTGGCTCAAGCCTGTAATCCCAGCACTTTGGGAAGCTGAGGCAGGTGGATCACAAGGTCAGGAGTTCAAGACCATCCTGGCCAATATGGTGAAACCCCATTCTACTAAAAATACAAAAAAAAATTAGCCAGGTGTGTTGGCAGATGCCTGTAGTCCCAGCTCCTTGGAAGACTGAGGCAGGAGAATAGCTTGAACCCAGGAGGCGGAGGTTGCGGTGAGCTGAGATCGTGCTACCGCACTCCAGTCTGGGTGACAGAGTGAGACTCTGTCTCAAAAAAAAAAACCAAAGATGTAGGTAGGAGCGAATTTAGGGTCTAAGTACCACTGTATCTGGGGAAAATCACTCCGGGAAACCACTTTTTGGCCCACAAGGCCCCCTGTCATCTGGTCCCCATTGCCCGGTGACCTCATCCTCTTTCCTTTGGCTCTAACCACGCTGGCCTCCTTGCTGCGCCCCAGGGCCTTTGTGTATGTGGCTAGCCTGGCCTGGAATGTTCTTTTCCCATTATCCGCATGGCTCACTCCACCCCTTCAGGCGTGTGCTCCAATGTCACCTTCTCAGCAAGGCCTTCCCTTCCAATTGCCCAATTTAAAATGAACCCTCCCTGCCTCCGCCTTCTTACCCAGGCCTGTTTTCCTCTGTGGCCCTTAACACCATCTGATATTCTCTGTCCTTTTCTTTTCTGCATTGTGTATTGTCTGTCTCTTCCCCACTAGGAGTCAGCTCTGCAGTGGGTAGGGATTTTGTGTGTTTAGTTTACTTTTGTCCCCTGGCCTGGCACTCTGTAAGCCTCAATAAATATTTGTGGGCTGAGCATGGTGGCTTACGTCTGTAATCCCAGCACTTTGGGAGGCCAAGGCAGGCAGATCACTTGAGTCAGGAGTTCAAGACCAGCCTGGCCAACATGGCGAAACTCCGTCTTTACTAAAAATACAAAATATTGGCTGGGCACGGTGGCTCATGCCTGTAATCCCAGCATTCTGGGAGGCTGAGACGAACGGATCACCTGAGGTCAGGAGTTTGAGACCAGCCTAGCCAACATGGTGAAATCCTATCTCTACTAAAAATACAAAAAAATTAGCCAGGCGTGGTGGCAGGCGCCTGTAATCCAGCTACTCGGTAGGCTGAGGCAGGAGCTACTCTCGGCCTCTGCTTTCTCATCTGTAAAATAAGGATCCTAGGCCAGGTATGGTGGCTCACGCTTGAACCCGGGAGACAGAGGTTGCAGTGAACCAAGATCATACCATTGCACTCCATCCGGGACAATAAGAGTAAAACTCCATCTCAAAAAAAAGGAAAAAAAAAAATATATATATATATATATCTCTCTATATATATTAGCCTGGTGTGTTGGTGTGCACCTATACTCCCAGCTAGTCGGGAGGTTGAGGCAGGAGAATTGCTTGATCCCCAGGGGCAGAGGCTGCCGTGAGCTGAGATTGCACCATTGCACTTGAGCCTGGACAACAGAGCAAGACTCCATCTCAAAAAAAAAATTTGTGGAGTGACTCATTCTTCCTGTGCCGGCCTCAGCCCAGCTCATCAGTCAGTCTCTGAGCAAGTCTGTCCTTCACTCAGACACCCACTGCCCTGACCTCCTGTGTGTGTGAGCTCACAGTTCAGGCTCCCACTGCGGGGCCTTTGCCCGTGCTGTTGCCTCTGCCTACAACGCTTGTCCCCTAGAGGTGAGCATGGTGGCGCCTTTTCAGACCGTTTGTGTGTCAGACACTGTCAGCACCTCCTCGGTGACTGCCAGGATCATCCTGTCTGCTGAGGCCCTCGACACACCGTCTCTCTGTTACCCTTCTCCACTGCACTCAGCACAGGTGGAAGTTCCATGATGGACTGCATGATTCATTGCATTGCTTCTTGATTGATTGCATCAAATCTGCTCCTCTGCACTGCGTGCTCCACAAGACCAGAATCCTCCTGCCTTAGTCACTGCCAGGTTTCCAGTGCCCAAGAACTGGGCTGAGCATATGGCTGCACCGTGACATACTTGTTGACTAAACGAATGACCAGGAACTTAACCTGTCACCTCCTGTAGACAAGACCCACCCACGCTTCCCCAGGAAGAGACAGAGAGAAGGCGAGGTAGAAGAATGCACTTCTTAGAAGCAGCACACAGCCCAGCCTTACTTGAGGCCTCTTTTCAATGCTTCGAAGATCTTCTTCACCTGCTGGGGCTTGGGGTCTGCACAGACCGACCCCTTTCGCAGCGTGCCGTACAACTTGGAGGATTTTGCAGGCATTCGCGATCTCACGGAGTTCCTGTTGATGGACTTTCTGTGAGAAGGGGTGGAGAGGAAGAGAAATCAGAGCCCGGTCCTGACAGCCCTCTCCAGGGGCAGGCACTTTGGAAATAGTGACCAGAGCCACAGGGAGTCAGGAGACCCGGCTCAGTCCCACCCCCATCACCACCAAGCAGTGTGGTCTCCAGAAAGTTATGGAGCCTCTCTGAGCCTCTGCTTTCTCATCTGTATAATAAGGATCTGGGGCTGGGCACGGTGGCTCATGCTTGTAATCCCAGCACTTTGGGAAGCTGAGGCAGGTGGATCACCTGAGATCAGGGGTTCAAGACCAGTCTGGCCAACGTGGCGAAACCCTGTCTCTACTAAAAATATAAAAATTAGCCAGGTGTGGTGGTACATGCCTGTAATCCCACTTACTCCAGAGGCTGAGGCACAAGAATCACTTGAACCTGGGAGGCGGGAGGTTTCAGTGAGCCGAGATTGCACCACTGCACTCCAACCTGGGTGACAGAGTGAGACTCCATCTTAAAAAATAAATAAATAAAAATAAAAATAAAAATAAGGAGCCTGGATTTGAGGATTAAGAGTAATAAAGCCCTTCTGCCATGGCTGCCACTGGAGAGCAGCAGCCTTGGCTCTGCACTACCCTATAGCCATAGGCCTCAACAAGGACCACAAGGTGACCAAGAGCGTGAGCAAGCCCAGGCACAGCCGCCACAGCAGGCGTCTGACCAAATACACTGAGTTTGTGTGGGACATGATCTGAGAGCTGTGTGGCTTTGCCCCATATGAGCGGGGCGCCATGGAGTTACTGAAGGTCTCCAAGGACAAACGGACCCTCAAGTTCATCAAGGAAAGGATGGGGATGCACATCTGTACCAAGAAGAAGCGGAAGGAGCTGAGCAATGTTCTGGCTGCCATGAGGAAAGCCACTGCCAGGAAAGACTGAGCCCCATCCCCTGCCCTCTCCCAGAAATAAAGAACAGCTTGACAATTAAAAAAAATAAAAAAAAGTAATAAAAGTCTGATATCAGAAATGAACTTACAGCAAGAAATACAATCAAGCAGCCCAAATGCCAATGCTCTCTGATCAGCATGCTCTGCCTGTGCAGGCAAAGCCGTGTAGGAGGCCAAGTCATAGTCCTGTGCTTTACCCACGGGGAGGCATCTGTTGGCTTTACCTGCCCAGCTTCCATCCCCTCCCTCCAGTAGTAGCACCTCAATTTTCCTCTGGGGAACCTCCCCAGCTTTGCTTTTTATACTTGTGGTTTGGGGGAAAGGTAGCCTGACCAATCAACATGCACACACACATTGCACACGCACACGTGCACACGAGCATTCTTCCACAAATCCACATCCCAGGCCTGCGCTAGTCAACATATTCTGCTCCCCTAGGCCAAGAAATATGGGGATCAAACCTGGCCAGTAGCCAGCCAGGAGTTCAGAATTCACAGAAGGGAGAAGGGTTTTTTCCCCTGGCATTGCTAACCTGGGGAACATACACCCGGGACTTCCAGCCTCCTCCATTTGCCACCACGTAGGGAAACTGGAGCCAACACAGAGAGGAACAAACAGAGTCAGGCCAAATCTCTATGACAGTAAGTTCCTGGATCCAGCTATGTCTAAAGCTGTACCTGCCCATGGGCTTTGCAGTTACATGAGCCAACTGACTCTTTTTTAGCTTAAGCCAGCTGGAGTTGGGAGTGTGGACTGGATGATCCTAAAAACTGCCTTTCAGTGGTGACGGCTGGGTCTCCCAACCTTTAGCGATGTAGCAGCATCTCAAGACTGATTACAGGAGTACGAGGCCAGGGCACCCTCATCACAGCACAGAGCTGGTTTCCCTGGCATCTAAGCCCGTTCTCAGGATCCCATAACTTATCCATGAGGCTTGAGGACCAGGCTGGTTGATGAAGCCTTTGCTCACCAACAGATGTGTTGAAGTCCGCTCTTAGCCCTCTAAAGCCATCGGCCAGGTGCCCTGGCACCAGGTATCACTTAATGACCACATTCTCACAAAAGAGACATGGCAGAAATGACTCTTAGAACTAACTTTGGCATCAGTTCTTTTTTTTTTTTTTTTTTTTTTTTGAGACGGAGTGTCGCTGTCACCCAGCCTAGAGTGCAATAGGTGCAATCTTGGCTCACTGCAACCTCCACCTCCCGGGTTCAAGCGATTCTCCTGCCTCAGCCTCCCACGTAGCTGAGATTACAGGCGTGCACCACCACACCTGGATAATTTTTGTATTTTTAGTAGAGACGGGGTTTCACCATGTTGTCCAGGCTGGTCTTGAACTCCTGACCTCAAATGATCCACCTGCCTCAGCCTCCCAAAGTACTGGGATTACAGGTGTGAGCCACCGCGCCTGGCTCGGCATCAGTTCTCACAGGGGACTACTGGCCCTTCTCTTCCAACTCCTCCTCTTCCCAGGGGCAGGAATAAGGGTATGCTGGAAGCAGCTTCAACCCACCCCAAAAGCTGACTGAGCAACAAAAGAGAAGGAACAGACCCTGAACAGCCTTGTGAAGCAGACCGCCCGCCACACACATGCCCTCATCCACCCAATGGCTCCGGACTGCAGAGAGAGAGAGGAATAACCAAGCTTAAGTAAGCACCTGCATTTTGGGGGTCCTTTTATCAAAACAACTTCATCTCTACACTAACACACCACCCAAGCCTCTGTCTTTTCATCGGTAAAATGGAACCACATAATACATCAGAGGGTGGTGCTGAGAATTCTATTAGATGCCACGCCCAAAATATGGCACAAAGGAGACCTTCGACATGCGAGCTATTGTCAGAATCGTCACATCCTATCTGTATCTTTCCCCTGGCTCACAGCTTAGAAAACATTAGGTGCGGGCTGGGTACTGTGGCTCACACCTGTAATCCCAGCACTTCGGGAGGCCAAGGCGGGTGGATCAACCGAGGTCTGGAGTTTGAGACCAGCCTGGCCAACCTGATGAAACCCCGTCTCTGCTAAACAAAAAATTAGCTGGGCATGGTGGTGGACACCTGTAATCCCAGCTACTCGGGAGGCTGAGGCAGGAGAATCGCTTGGACCTGGGAGGCAGAGGTTGCAGTGAGCCGAGATCATGCCACCGCACTCCAGCCTGGGCAGCAAGAGCGAAACTCCGCCTAAAAAAAAAAAAAGAAAAAAGAAGAAAATATTAGGTACTTCGTAAATATTAAGCTCAGCTGAATGGAGGAAAATATAGCATCCCAAGAGGATTGGAGAACAGAGATCCTGGCCCCTGCAGGCAGAGTGGGACAGCGAGTGCACCCCTGGGTGTTCCCAGCTGGGGACAGAGGGAGCAAGGGTGGAGAGGGGCGCCTGTTGTGCTCTGGGAGTGGACAGCAAGGAGCAAGGTTTGACCCAAGCAGAAGTGGGAGTCTGCAGAGGGCCTGGACCCAGGGCCTCTCTAGCTTTGGAGACCCAGGATGTGTGAGAGGAGCAGAAGGGCAGCTCCCAGAGAAAGTCCAGCTTCCAACACCTTTACGATGACAAGTAATGACTGTAGAGCAGAGAAACTAAGCTCAGGCCAGGGCTACTGGGCCGCTGAACAGCTGATACCACAAGCCCAAGGGCCCCGGGAGCTTAGTGAGAACACATGAGCTTAAGTAACTGGGGCAACTGCAGCCGCCAGGAGCTCGCTAAGGGCTTTATAGAAATATCTTGACTTCCACAACCACCCTAGGAGACAGGTATTATAATATATAGAGATATATATATATATATATATATATTTTTTTTTTTTTTTGAGACGAAATTTCGCTCTGTCAACAGGCTGGAGTGCAGTGGCATGATCTCTGCTCACTGCAACCTCCGCCTCCCAGGTTCAAGCGATTCTCCTGCCTCAGCCTCCCCAGTAGCTGGGATTAGAGGCATCTGCTACCACGCCCAGTAATTTTTGTTTTTTTTTTAAGTAGAGACGAAGTTTCACCTTGTTTGCCAGGCTGGTCTCGAACTCCTGACCTCAGGTGATCTGCCTGCCTTGGCCTCCCAAAGTACTGGGATTGCAGGCATTAGCCACCGCACCCGGCCATTTGTATATATTTAATGTTAATTGATGCTTTCCAAAGCCCAGAGGGGCTGTGCTCCCTCTTCCCCTTGCCCTCCCTGAGGCCCCATCACCCACCTTTTGAACCGGGCCCTCTGCAAGGTTGCCATCTCAAGGCTGGCAGAGATGGTCAGGGCTGCAGCCTCGGGGAAAGGCGGGTTTCTGACAGGTTAGAGACCCCGGCAGGCAGGCAGCAGGCAGTGGGGCAGGCAGTTTGGAGGTGGGGCTGCAGGAGCCCGCTCACTCCCAGCTCCCACCTCCAGTCCCCAGCAGGTGTGCACCCTTGGCCTAGCCCTGCTTCCGTCCACCTGGGGACCTTATACCCTCACTGCTGCAGCCATACCTGAATGCACCTGCTCCCGGGAAAGCTCTGAGCCCCGTGCTCCTTGTCTGAGGTTCAACAGGCACAGTGGCCACTCTGAGGGCCCGCCCACCCGGGGAAGGTGATGTGCGTGCAGCCTCCAGATGGCCAAATCAGGCTGCATGCCTGGCCCAGGTGTCACAGAAGCCGGGGCAGGGAGAGCCTCTGGGGCCGGATGTTTCACCAGGTCTGGGAGGACTCAGTAAATATTAAACAGCCCCTGGCATGCCAGACAAGCTTCCAGACGGGCACATGCAACCCGCCAGCCCCAGCCCTCATGTGAGGTTGCTACAGCAGTCCTTCTGCCTGTTGTGGTTGGCAGAGGCCTTGGTACTCGGCTGTTGCAAGTGCAGGCTCTGGAGGCAGACAGGGCTGGGCTCAAGTCCTGCACCTGCCCCCAGCCTCCAGGCAGGGCAATTATAGGACTGACTGCACAGGCTTCAGGTGAAGACTCCATGCAACAAGGACATGAGCCAACCATTTACCCAGGTGCCTGGCGGTGTTGGCCGCTCGGTGATGATGACAGGCATGCACTTGGCACTTGCCAAGTTCAAGCTCTGCTCTCAGCGCTTTTGTTTTTGTTTTTTAACTGAGACGAGGTCTTGCTCTGT